AAAAAAAAAAAAAAAAATGGCAGCATTAGGCCAGGTGTGGTGGCTCAAGCCTGTAATCCCAGCACTTTGGGAGGCTGAGGCAAGAGGATTGCCTGAGCAACTTGGTGAGACCTCATCTCTACAATAAACCAAAAATTAACTGGGTGTGGTGGCATCCACCAGTAGTTCCAGCTACTTGGGAGGCTGAGATGGAAAGCTGCATTTTATTAATTTTTGAGTTGGAGTCTCACCCTGTCGCCCAGGCTGGAGTATAGTAGCACGCTCACGGCCACCTCAGCCTCAACCTGCTGGGCTCAGGCAATCCTTCTGCCTCAGCCTTCCAAGTAGTTGAAACTAGAGGCGCCACCATGCCTGGCTAATTTTTTGATTTATTGTAGAGACAATTTGTTCCAGACTGGTCTGGAACCCCTGGGCTCAGGCAATCTTCTTGCCTCTGACTCCCAAAGTGCTGGGATTACAGTCGTGAGCCACTGCACCTGGCGAAATGGCTGTACTTTAGTTAAGATTATTTCATTAAGTCATTCCACGTTGGCTTTTCACCCTTTCACATTATACAGCTTAACCTCAAATACTGACATACAAGACCCTAGACTTATTTTTTTGAGTTGGAGTCTCACTCCGTCGCCCAGACTGGAGTGCAGTGGTCACTCCCGGCCACCACAGCCTTGACCTGCTGGGCTCTGGCGATCCTTCTGCCTCAGCCTTCCAAGTAGCTGGTCTGGAACCCCTACTACCATGCCCGGCTAATTTTTTGATTTATTGTAGAGATGAGGTCTCGTCAAGTTGCCCAGGCAAGTCTCGAACCCGCGGGCTCAGGCAATCCACTCAGACTTATTTTTTTTTTTTTTGAGTTGGAGTCTCACTGTCGCCCAGACTGGAGTGCAATGGCTGCTCCCGGCCACCACAGCCTCGACCTGCTGGGATCCAGCGATCCTTCCGCCTCAGCCTTCTGAGTTGCTGGAACTATAGGCACGCGCTACAACACCCGGCTAATTTTTTTATTTTATTGCAGAGATGAGGTCTCACCTGCCCAGGGGGGTTGCGAACCCGCGGGCTCAGGCAATCCACTCACCTCAGCCTCCCAAAGGCGTGGGATTACAGGCTGAGCCACCGAGCCCGGCGACCCTAGATTTATTATAAGCCACGAAAAAGAAATCAAGAATTATAATTGGTAGTGAAAGACTACAAGTTTATTATATGTCTATACATAAAGTAAAAATCTACCTAATACCCTTTGTGTGGGAATATTCTTCCAGATCATTTTACATGCATTCATAAGCACTTCTATAACTTGTACTTGTCTTTTAGCAGTCTGTATCGGAGATATTTCCATGTCAATATATAAAAACACTGTAACAGTGAGATAGTATTCCACTATACGGAAATATCATAATTTTTTTTACACCCCTATTCACGTTTGTCTCTAATTTTTTTTTATTATAAACTCACTTATGCAAACCCCACTAACACTAGCTGTTACCAAACTTAAAAATTTTTGTCAATCTTATAGGGAAAAAAAGAGCAATTTGTTATCCTTAACTATTTGTGAGACTGAATCTTTTCACAAAGAAGAGAAATGTGTAATTCTTCTCTGAATAACCTACTCTCACATTCTCAATCAGGTAGAGCTCTTTCTTTCTTTTTTTTTTTTTTGAGTTGTGGGTCTCACTCTGTCGTCCAGACTGAAGTGCAATGGTGCAATCATGTCTCACCACAGCCTTGACTTCCTGGGCTCAAGTAATCCTCCCGCCTCAACCTCCTAAGCAGCAGGGACTACAGGCGCAAGCCATCACTCTAGGCTAATTTTTTGTAGAGACATGGTCTCACTCCATTGCCCAGCCTGGAGTGCAGTGGCACACTCAAAGCCACCCGAGTGTTGACCGTCTGGACACTGGTGATCCTTCTGCCTCAGTCTTTCAAGTAGCTGGAACTATAGGCGCGTACTACCACGCTCGGCTAATTTTTGATTTATTGTAGAAATGAGGTCTTGCCAAGTTGCCCAGGCTGGTCTCGAACCCATGGCCTTAGGCAATCCACTTACCTTGGCCTCCCAAAGAACCGAATTACAGGCTGAGCCACTGAGCCCGGCCTGGTCTCATTACGTTACCCAGGTTGATCTTGAAATCCTGGGCTCAAGTAGTCTTCCTTTCCAGACTTCCCAAAGTGCTGGGATTACAGGTGTGAGCTACTGTGCCTGGCTATTTTACTTTCTAGCTGCCAGTCATTCAAGTTTGCTTGTTTCTTTAGTCATACACACGTTTTTCATTTTTACGTTTTAAGTACACTGTTAATCCTTCTAGGGTGGGTAGTTTGCCTAGGAAGAGGTTTCCAAAGTCAAGATTGTAAAAACAGTCTCGATTTTCTCTTAGTTCAGTAGTTGGAGTTTTGGTCCACCTGAAATGTATCTCTTTTCTGTACAGTGTGAAGCACAAATCTTACTTTTATCATTTTCACCAACTGGATAGCTAGTTGCCTCAATAATGCATAATGAACAACCTGTCCACTCCTCACTTTAATGAGACTTTAGTTCGCCCCTATCTTTTTACTTTACAATATTGCAGAGGAGATGTTGAAGGATTTATAATTATAAAAAATTTTGTCAATTGTCTCCCTCCCACCCATCTACACATATAATTTAAGCTTTCAACGTATTCTCTGAAAATAAACTGCAGGCATGCATTTTCTCTCTTTCTTTCCTTTTGCTTTTGTTTTTTTTTTTTGAGTTGGAGTCTCACTTTGGCGCCCAGGCTGGCATGCAATGGTATGCTTATGGTCACCGCAGCCTCAACCTGCTGGGCTCAGGTGATCCTTCCACCTCAGTCTTCCAAGTAGCTGGAACCACAGGCACATATCACCACACCCAGCTTGACTTATTGTAGAGACAAAGTCTCACCAAGTTGCCCAGACTGGTCTCGAACCCGTGGTCTTGGGCAATCCTCTCACCTCAGTCTCCCAAAATGTTGGGAGACAGGCATGAGCCAATGTGTCCAGCCGCAATATTGTTTAGGGTAAGGATCATGACAACTATATTTAATCCTGAATTGTAACAAACACTGAATTATGTTGGCTGAAATGTTTCATTGATTAAAGGGAAGCCAATCTTAAAATAACACTTTTTAAAAGTGGTGCAGACCACTATCACAAAAGGGGAATTCTGAGATGCAGCATGGCCCAAACTTATTATTATCATTATTTTTTTAAGCCAGGGTCTCACTCTGCTGCCCAAGCTGGAGTGCAGTATTACAATGATGCCTTACCACAACCTTGACCTTTTGGAATCAGGTGATCCTTCCACCTCAGCCTCCCAAAGAGGAGGGAGCAGGCCACCACTCCCAGCTAATTTTTTGTAGAGATGAAGTCTCACTATGTTGCCTAGGTGGTAAGCCCCAAACTTTATAGGCAGGATAAAAGTAAAAATAAGACATCTTAGTAATCAGGCAAACTGCCATATGGAATTAAAAGAAAACCAGAAATTAAGCACAACTCCCTTCAAACAACCCAAACCTCTAGAGAATCAAAATACATTTCAGCAAGTCCAAGAATATTTCTTTGATAAATAATATTTGTCATTATGTATTATGAGGCAGTTCCTGTCTTAGACACAAATATTTGAAATGACTAAGACAGGCCAGGCGTAGTGGCTCAAGACTATAATTCCAGCACTTTGGGAAGCCGAGGCGAGAGGATTGCCTGAGCCTGCAGGTTTGAGACCAGCCTGGGTAACACGGTGAGACCTCATCTCTACAATAAATAAATTAGCTGGGCATGATAGTGCGTGTCTGTAGTTCTGGCTACTTGGAAGGCTGAGGTGGAAGGATCTCCTGAGCCCAGCTGGAGTGTCACTCTGTCGCCACTGCACTCCAGCCTGGGCGACAGAGTGACACGCCAGCTCAAAAAAAAATAACAATAATAATAAATAGAAAAATTAAAATGACTAAGACAAGGCCCCTAAGGAGGGCTTGGGAAGTTCAGGCACTGAAAGATAAGTAAAAATAACTGTAAACTATAGAATGCAAGAGATATATACACAGAAATATAATGTAGTATGGGGAGGAGGGAGTCAGATCTTAGCAGACTTCTAATAAGAAGTCTGAAAAGTTGGAAATACACAGCAAGAGAAGACAAGCAAAGACAAAAGCACAAGGTACAGAGTAATTATAGACACTGATGAGATATTAAGTTCAAAAATCTGAGTAGGGAAGAGTTAGGAAGAGTTTCATAGAAAGCCCTAAATTCTGTTAAAAAATTCCTCTAGGAGAGGTACTCAAGAGTTTTCATCAATAAAGTGCAGTTGGGGCCGGGCATGGTGGCTCATGCTTATAATTCCAGCACTTTGGGAGGCAGAGGTAAAAAGACTGCCTGAGCCTGTGGGTTCAAAACCAGCTTGGGCTACTTGGCAAGACCTCATCTCTACACTAAATAAAAAATTAGCTGGGTTTGGTGGCGCATGCCTGTAGTTCCAGCTACTTGGAAGACTGAGGCAGAAGGATCACCTGCGTCCAGCAGGTCGAGGCTGTGGTGGCCATATGCATGCCGCTGCACTCCAGTCTGGGTGACAGAGACTTCAACTCAAAAAATAAAAAAATACGTGGAGTGCCAGGGTCATATTCACATTTGTGAGACCCTAGGGCAGATGTTCAGGAAGAAATGTAAGAGAAATAGAAGACAAAAATATGATATCTGGGAAGACAAAGTAGGTGATCAGAGCCATACATACACAGGTTAATTAGTTTCAGTAATCAAGATACAAGCAAAAACAGATAGGTCGATAAAAGAAAATACAGAGCCCAGAAATAGATTCATATTTGTATGGTTGAATTTCTGCAAATGCGCCAAATCCTACGGGCAAAAGTAACCTCCCTCCCTCCTTCCTTCCTTCCTTGAGTTGGAGTCTCACTCTATTGCCCAGGCGGCAGTGCAGTGGCATGCTCTCGGCCACTGCAGCCTCAACCTGCTGGGCTCAGGTAATGGTTCCGCTTCAGTCTTCCAAGTAGCTGGAACCACATGTATGTGCAACCATCCCCGGCTAAATTTTTTTTTCTATTGTAGAGATGAGGTGTTGCCAAGTTGCCCAGGCTAGTCTTGAACACCTGGCCTCAGGCAATTCTCTGGCCTCAGTCTCTCAAAGTACTGGAATTACAGGATTGAGCCACCGCACCTGGCCAGAAAGTTTTCAGTAATGATGCTGGAATAACTGGAAATCCATACAGAAAAAATTAATTTGGGATACTAACTCACACCATTTTCCAAAATTCACAATGGCCCATGGATCAAGGCATAAAAATCAAAATTGTACAATTCTTAGGAAAAAAATCAGGCAGGCCACATACAGTGGCTCACATCTGTAATCCTAGCACTTTGGGAAGCTGAGTTGAGAGAATCACTGTAGCCTGGGAGTTGGAGACTGGCCTGGGCAACATAGCAATACCTTGTATCCGCAGAAAAAATAAAAATAAGAAATTAGCCAGGCATGGTGGTGCATGTCTATAGTCCCGGGTACTAGGGAGGCTGAGGCAGGAAGGATTACCTGAGCCCAGAAGGTTGAGGCTGCAGTGAGCCTCGATGGTGCCATTGTATTTCAGTAACATTTAAACAGGGAAAACAAAAAACAAAAAAAAAACCAATAGGAGAATACCTTCATGGTTTGAGGGTAGACAAACGTTTCTTTGACAGTACACAAAGCAAGAATCATAAGACTTCTACTCATTAAGAGACTATTAAGGAAATCAACAAACTGGAAGTGTATCTGACAGAAGACTGGTATCTAGGATATAGAAAGAATTTCTACAAATCACTAATAAAAATACCTCAGTCAAAATGAGCAAAAGATCTGTAAAGACACTTCAAAAAAGAAATATAGCCGGGCTCGGTGGCTCAGCCTGTAATTGCGTGCCTTTGGGAGGCTGAGGTGAGTGGATTGCCTGAGCCCGCGGGTTCGAGACCCGCCTGGGCAGGTGAGACCTCATCTCTACAATAAATCAAAAATAAATAAATACACCACTTAAAAAAAAAAACAAACCAAACCAAAACCCAACAAAACCCTAATGAGATACCACTACACACCTGCTAAAATGGTTAAAATAATAGTGCCACCAATTCATATGAGAAATACAACAGTCCACTGAAAATGCAAACCAGTTAGTCAAACAACCATTTTCTTAAGGCAAACACATTCTCCAGTAACAAGGAATGATGGTTTCTACGTTGTACCTGAGACACAGAATGGGATTCAATACACCTACTAAAAGTTACAGGAAAACTCTGCCAAACATTAAGTGTCTTGAAATGGAACACACTGAATCCACAGTATGTTACATAAAATATAACTATATATGTTCGGATTTCAAGAAACATCCTTTAAGTTCTGAGGCTTTTAATCCAAATTTACTTAATCAAATAAAAAATAGACCACATGTACTCATTCATAAGTGGACCACGAACATTTATCATAATTAACAATAGTAAAATAAAAAATGGGCTCAAATGAACCTTAAATGCCTTCTCTACAACAACCCCCCCGAACACAATACTGAGTTTTATGTGTTATTTCACCTAGAAGTAATCTATTTCTAGCAATCTCTAAATCTGCCACTAAACAGCAATCTTCAATAAGCCACGGGCCCTACCTTTTAAGAAATTCTATCACCAGAGTAACGCATACAACAGGTGGCAATAACTAACTGGTCAACACTGACAATCCTAGACTCAATAGGAATGAAATCAGCTAAATATTTGTAGTTGCTGGCTTAATTATTAGAAACCTTTACCCTATGTTCAATCTTAGCCGCAAGGAAAAAACACCCAAACCAATCTACTTGCAGGTGTGTGAAATTTAATTACTCAAGTCAGTAAAAAATCTTTGATAGACTCAACTCACCGACCGGGTCTGGTCACAGAAAGAAACAGGAGAAATGCCTGTTATCTATGTAATCAGCCATAATTACGGAAAAGGATGACTTCTGCCCCGCACGGGGAGATTTTCCTAAATCGATAGTGGGTCGAACTATCGATCCTAAATCCAGGGAGCATCAAAACATAAAGTTAAGAAAAATAACCTCAGAAGTCCCTCTCTGACCTAGGACATTTTGCAAATAGCTCTCATTACTTCCAGATACGCTTCCTCTTTTCAGTGCAACTAGAGTTCCACTCGAAATAAAAATCGATAACTGACTGAGAGAGCGAGCTGTGGCCCAGGCGGCGATGCACCTTCAAAGCCTTTAAACGGCGAGGTGGGAAGACATGGCTCGGCCTGTAAAT